AGAAAACAACAGTTCTCCCACCACAAAACTTTAAAACTGTTTGTCGTAAATGCAAACAACTGCCTGTGGGTGCATTTGTTACAAACGAGATCATAAATACATAATATTCCAACAACAAACAAATACACATAAATTATTATCAACAGCAACAACCACAAAAAATATTTGTGTTCTGGTTGATCGTGGCCCGATTTTCTGCTGTTTTCGTTTGGTTTTTCGAATTTATGTTTTGTTGTTCTTTTCGTTTAAATCTTTGTTTCTTTGCGACGCCGTGCAGTGGAAATTTTCCGTTTGTCAGATAACCAAAACTAAATGCCTAAATGGAAAATTAATTGTCAACGACGATTGAAAGCCGAGTCGGAAAATTTTCCATGGCAAATGACAAATCACAGGCGAAGAAGCAGTCCAAGAAAAGCGACCGTATTGGTTGCCGGCATGATGCCACCTGCTGTTTGTTCGTTGACTTTTCTGCAGAGATGTCAGTGGGAGAGGTCTCTTCTTTTTGCAGGTAGTGAAAAAAAGTAAAATAGTGTTATTTTGGGAATTATTGGATGCTAGGTAGCTGCTGGTCGTGTGGAATTGATGGATGTTAATTGCGGATTTATGTGCGGAAAAACATTTGTGCGGGAAATTGATATAGAAAAAAGTAAAAAAGGTTGGCCAAGTATATTGGGAATTCGAATGAGATTTCAATAGCGAAATCAGCGTAGTTTTTCCATAAAAATCAATCCTGCTTATTTTTATACCCTCAGCCATATGGCTAGAGAGGGTATGTATCATCTGATACGACCAAAACGTGTCTCATCGAAATAATGGTTTTATACCCTAGGTTTCTTTGGATCAAATCCATTTCAGGACATTTGGAGTCGATCTAGTGATGTCCGTCCGCCCGTCTGTCTGTCTGGCTGGTGCGCACGATAACTCTCGAAGGGAGTATCAGATTTTATCAAAATTTGATACATCGTAATATTATTGTCAAACTTAGATTGAGATCGGAGATGAGCAAAATCGGTCCACTCCTTCTGGTACCTCCCCCACAAAAGGTCGAAATTTTCAAAAACATATATTTTTTTGCACAGAAGGAGAAACGATAATCCAATTTTGCTCCAACTTGGAGAATCGTAATATTTGTGTCAGTGCTACGCCAGGTGCACTCCATCAAGTACCTCCCCCACAAACGGTCAAAATTCTGAATAATTACAATTCTTATAAAATGTGATGTGAGAGTCCGATTGTTTTCAAATTTCACACATCCCAAAATTTTTTTCAACCCAGCGTCTGGTGTTAAGATGGAATATATCGGTCCTCTCCTTCTGTTACCATCCCCAAAAAAAGGTAGAAATATCCATTAAGCTCCGATTCCATTCAAACTTGGCACAACTCAATATTTCCATCTACATAAGATGTGTTATAAAGATGGTATGGATCGGACAATTTCTTCTGTTACCTCCCCAACAATAGGGTCATAGTTTTTGAATAACCAAATCGATCATAAAATCCGAAATAAGCATCAGGTTTTCTTTAAATTACACATCTCACATTATTTTAATCAAGCCAAGGTCTGGTGTAAAGCTGTGATATTTCGGTCCACTCCTTCTGGTACCTACTGAATAATCATGAACCTCATAAAACGCCAAATTAACACCCGATTCCATTCAGACTTGGTACATCTCATCTGTCGGTAAAACTGACTAATACTATTTTACTTGTTATTATTAAAAAAGAAAAATTATGATTTTTTATAAAAATGTCAAAATTTTTTTAAAGTATCTCTCAGTCTCCTCATGTGAAGAAGAAATTGACATCCAAAATTTTCCCTTCGTTAGGTATTCAATTTTTATCAATTTTGACTTACCCATTGATGCATCCCATCTTTTTCCCACGAGGTAAATGTGTATGTCAATTTCTTCCCCCCAACCTAATTTATATTCATTAAAATGTTTCTATTATTTTTTCTTAGGCTCATGCATGGCTTATTGCAGATGGCCATGAAGAAAGGATATTTCTGTCCGCCAGAGCTTGTCTATGGGCTTTGCACACATATGCGGCCATATGGCGTGGATATATTGCAAATGTGTCTTAGTCGGCAAATTTTTTGCCATACCTTCTAAGGATAGATGGTTTGCGATAAAGGTTAATGTAGGTCAAGGGTCTTGTAAAAGTCAATCGATACAGCTGTTGTGGGTGTCAAAACACTTGTAAGCACTTGTGGGAAAAATAGGCATGATTTCCATAACTAAAGGAGGAGGAAAATAAGGAGAATATGAAAAATCGATTTTATTAAAATGTAAATTTGTTTTAAGACATATTTTATACAATATTTATATCATAGTTTTGTTAGGCAATTCGAAATTAGGAAATATGAAATTGTCAAGTATTGACAATATGAAAGTAAGCATCCTGGAACTGAATATCCTCAACAGAGAACGGAAAAAAGTACATTTTTGGAAACTTTTTGTTTAATATGTTCTTTTTTTTAAAGTCAGCAATGGGAAATTCTTGGCACTTAATGTATGAATAACAAAATATAGCTAATTGCGAATATGAAAGTTCTGCTCCGTAAAATTCGGGAACTAAAAAAATGACAGATTTATACCCTAAGTAAATTATCGACTATATATGTTGTCGAAGAAGTAGTCTTAATGGAAAATTCATGATTTTTGAACTGGAAGGTCTTTACACTCACAATGATTTCCTAGAAGACAGATTTACAAAATACAAACATTTTCCCATGAACAATATTTATAAAAAGTCTCTGACTTTGTGCAGAGAAGGATCGTTTACAAAAAAAAAAAAAAAAAAAAATACCAAAAAAAATATTCGAAAAATAATTCAACATTTTTTGGAATTTTAGTCCAAGAATAATATCTTCCTCACAATTTTTTACAGAAATCCTTGAGAAAATATAATAATAATTACATGTTTATTCACAGAAAATTCTTGATTTTTAACAAATTATTAAAAAAAAAAAAACAATAAAGAACGTAGACAGTTTCAGATGGTTCTGTATAATCTTTTCGGGGTATTTTCATGTTTATATTTGGTACATTTCATTTATGACTGCCATGACTACTTAAAGGTTGCTTATCTTGGATTGGATATCCGGAGCCACAAGACTATGCAAAATTCAATGACAATTGCCCTATATTAAAGAACTCAGACACACTATACAATTTGGCTATACATCGGATATATAACTACTAAAAAGTGCCCGAAACTTCGTCAGCTGAAAGTCTACCTTAAAATTTTAGATTCGTTCTAAAAGTTCGCGTTAAGCCTTTTTAGTACTCAAAAATTCACATTTTTTCAGTTTGACATTTTTTTTATTAAAACTTCTACATTTACAAAATCCATCATTTTGAATTTTTCGGAGGAGAATATTAGTCACACCTTTGCACAATAGACCCACATTCATTTTTTTCTGTCCAAAACTATTTCAACGTCTCCATATGTAAACCCAGCCTTCCTTCACCTGATACTCAATTTAGTACCACTTTGTACTTTTCGAACACGATTTCCAAACCGCCTCCATATCTCAATTCCAGATACCAAAAGAGAGACCTCAATGTCAAAATTGAGGATTCCAGTCCTCTCTCCTCACACAATTCCAAACATAGTACTATTAAGTACTTTTCGGACAATTATAGTACGCATTTCCAAAAGCATCTCCATAGCACAATTCCAAATATCAAGAGAGACGTCAATATCAAATTTGTGAATTCCAGTTCTAACCCTTCACCAAATTCCAAATTTAGTACCTTTTAGTACTTTTCGTACAAACATAGGACAGATTTCCAAACCATTTCCTTATCTCAACCAGAGACATCAACAGTGACGTCCATATACAATTTCAGATTTAATCCTTTACGCAATACCTGCTATAGTACTATTTAGTACTTTTCGTACAATTTTAGTACATCTTTTCAAAATCAAAACCATATCTTTATTCCAGATACCAATAGCGATCTCAATATCAAATTTCGGAATTTCAGTTATATTCCTTTTAATAGTGCCTAATATAGTACTATTTAGTACTTTTCGTACAATTTTAGTATACATTTTCAAAATCACCTCCATATCTAAATTCTAGATACCAACTTAATATATCAATATCAAATTTGATCATTCCAACTCTTTTCCTTCACACGATACCAAATTTAGTACCACTTAGTACTTTCCCAACAATTATAATACACATTTTTAAAACTGCCTCCATACCTCTATATCTATATCAAATTTAAGGATTTCAGTTATGTTCCTTCGCCCAATATTAAATTAAGTACTATTAAGTTATCCAACTTTTCGCACAATTGTAGTACCCATTTTCAATATCTCAATCCCAGATGCCAAAAAAGGCCTTAATATCAAGTTTGAGGATTCTAGCCCTATCCCTTTACCCAATTCTAAATAGAGTAACATTTCGTACTTTTCGTACAAACATAGAATAAATGTCCAAACCACCGCCAAATTACAGACACTGATGATTTCAGCCCTATTTCCTCACCCAATATCCAATTTTGACCTATTAGCACTTTTCAAACAATTATGGTATGCGTTTCAAAAATAAAAAAAAAACGTCCTGACCTAAGGTAAGATTGATGTCTTCTGGGACCTATAGTAGAATTTTATAACATTTTATTTTCTAGAATATTTTGACTTGCTACGATGCTGTTTAAGGGAGTGTTTTGGAGAAAATTTCCAAAAAGACCCATTTTGGGACGTGCCTCCTCGTCGTATTGCTGTCGGACATTACATACCTAAAAAGTTGATGATTTTAAGAAATCTTAATTCGAAAATTTGAAAAAAGTGTAAAAGTTGTGTAACGTTGCCACTTCTATTTAGCTTTTTTTTTGATGTGAACTTTCAAAACGCTGATGCACTTGGCTATTATTTTTATCTCTATTTTCAAAATCAACCGAGTTTCTTGTGAATATTTTTTTTTATAAAAAAAAATCCCTCCCCTCACATTACCCCCTAATAGAAAAAAAAAACTAAAATCGGTTTTTCTTCAATATTCTTTTATTAAACTTAAAATAGGATTTTTTAATGGAAATGAAAAAAAAAATAAAAAAAATTCACTTAAATGCTACATAAATGTTGTTTTTTTTTTTTGTTTCATATAAAGCTTAATACTTAATAAAATTAATAATTAATGTGATTAGCATTATTCAGTTCTTGTTTGTATTCTATTTACACAAAGATCAAAGAGGGAGAGCGAGAGAGATCCCGTTATTTACTCATCCAGCAGACATGTTCTAATTAGAGCATCACACACAGCATAGGGATCACAATTGGAACTGGGGCGACGATCTTCAAAGTAACCTTTGCCGGCATTGGCCACACCCTGAGGAACCCTTACGCTGACACTGCGATTGGCCACACCCCATGAGAATTTGTCAATGCTTGAGGTCTCCAGGCGGCCCACCAAACGTCTTTCGTTGTCCTTACCCTCCTTGGGATCATAGGCTTTGATATGGCGCTCATGATGTTTGCTTAGCTTTTCAATGGCTTCCTCAATGGCCTTGATGCCACCTTCCGCCCTGGTGGCTTTGGTGGAGAAGTTGGTATGGGCGCCAGCGCCATTCCAGGGTCCTTCCACCGGTTTGGGATCAAAGGTGACCACAATGCCAAATTCTTCGGCAATGCGTTGTAGAATGTAACGTGATACCCATAGATCATCACTGGCCTTGATGCCTAGACTAGGGCCGACTTGATATTCCCATTGGGCGGGCATTACCTCGGCATTGGTGCCGCTGAAATCAATGCCGGCATAGAGACATGCCAGGGTGTGGGCCTCTACCAAATCCCGGGCATAGACACGATCAGCACCCACACCACAGTAGTAGGGTCCTTGGGCAGCGGGATAACCATTGGCAGGCCAGCCAAAGGGACGACCATCGACATCGAGCAGGGTGTATTCCTGTTCAATGCCAAACCAGGGTTCTTCATGACCCACCTTGTCAATGGCACTTTGTAGGGCATTTCTCTTGTTCGATGGTGTGGGCCTGCCATCAGCCAAATAGGTGTCACACATAACAATAATGTCATTCTTACCCGGCTTGAATGGGTCGCGATATATGGCCCTTGGCACCAGGGTGGTATCGGAATTCTCTCCCTGACTTTGATATGTTGAACTGCCATCGTATTGCCATTTGGGTAGATCGGAAACCTCTTTGGGTATTTTATTCAAAACACGATCCTTGACACGAATATTCTCGCCAGTGCCATCGATCCACAGGTAGGTGGCCTGCAAACGATCACTGGGTGTTTCCAAGTGCCTGTAACGGCCCAATATCGATTTGTCCAGGGCATTGTTGGGGGAATTTTTCAGAAAATCACTGGAAAATAAACGTGACGAGGAACTCAAAGCACGAGTTTGCCGAAGGCCAGAGAAAGAGGCGGAGAGTTCTTTGCTTAGCAGCAGACCAACACAACGAAGAGCCATTTTTTTGGGAATGGGAGGATATTTTTCAAGGATTCAAAATTTTTTTAAATATTTTTTTTGTTTTAAAAAATTTCACTTTTTTCCTTGGTCTCTTGAGATCTTGTGCTTTGCCTTTCACAAAAATGTTCCTTCTTTTTTTGTATTCCGTGGTATTTTTTTTCGAATTCTATGTTTTTTTCTTCTCCTTTTTTTGGGTTCTTGTTTTGTTGGAACAAAACAGATGCGCGACGTTAACACGATAACGTTAAAATGTCTTGTGAGCGCCTGGGCAGTGCGTTGATCTCCTTTATTTGAAAACCCCGAATGCCGTAGAACGCCAAACAAACAACTTTGCCGGCGCAGTGGCCACGCACTTCTTCTTTTCTAGATTTCTTCGTTGCATTCTCAATTGTTCTCTTCTGTTTTTGGGATGGGTACCTGGTTTGGTGCTGAAGGCATATCACTTACATTAGTCATGTTTTGTTGGTGTAAATAAACAAAACTTGAAATTATCAAAAATTTGTATCGAAAAATAAAACAAAAATAAACCTTGTTTACATTGGAGGCATTATTTATGGGAGAGATTAGTATTCTGGAAAATTTTCCAGAAAAATATGGTGATATCAAAAATATTAATATCAAACAAATTTTTCAAATTTTTAATAATATTTATTTTTTATTTTCCAATTAAAGTTCATATATTCATTCATTCAAATATTATTATTATTATTGTTATTATTATTATTATTATTATTATTATTATTATTATTATTATTATTATTATTATTATTATTATTATTATTATTATTATTATTATTATTATTATTATAATTATTGTTATTATTATTATTACTATTATTATTATTACTATTATTATTATTATTATTGTTATTGTTATTATTATTATTGTTATTATTTTTGTAGGCAATTCAAATATTATTATTATAATTATTATTATTCTTATTATTATTATTCTTATTATTATTATTATTCTTATTACTATTATTATTATTATTGTTATTATTTTCGTTTCTAAAATATATAAAATTAGCAAAAAATTTTTTTTAAATTTAATATTTTTTTGAAATTTAAAATTTTTTAATTTAACATTTTTTTCTTTCCAACAAAAAAAAAAAAAAAAAAAAACTCCCCTATTATTGACCGCACAGCATCTTTTTTCTAATTTGAATGCATACATTGTTTTTGACTCTCAAAAAACAAACCACTGGGATCTCCATATTCTCTTACTTTCTCTTACTCTCCCTCTCTCTGTAATATTTCAAGATTTTAAGTGAATAGCCATACATATTTAATATATGTACATACTTGATGTACATAAAAACAGATTTGTTTTTTTATTTTGTTTTTTCGTAGAAAGCCAGATCAGCAAGTCATGGTATTTGAAAAACAAAAATAATGTATATTATTTAATACATTTTGTTTATTTTGTATTTCTTTAAAAGCCATTAACAATTTTATAAGAATAGCAGAAAAGGTCATCAGTATTTTTACAAAAAAAAAAAAAAAACAAGTGAATCGGCAAACATTTTTGGCCGTGAAGAAATGCATTCACTTTGAGAAAAATTTGCAAGGTATTTTCCAACTATAAAAATAATATTTTTAAAAAATGAATCTAATCAAGTAACTTAAAAAAGTCGGTTCTGACGAGAGATGTTTACCTTCAGGATATGACAGTTTCTTATTTCCTCAGCCTAGAGAGGGCATATATCATTTGATTGGGCCAAAACGTGCCCCATCGAAATAATGAGAAAAATAAAGACCCTAGGTCTCTTTGGACCAAATCCGTTTTAGGATATTTGAAGTCAATCTGGCGATGTCCGTCCGTTCGTCAGTCTGTCTGGCTGGTGAGCACGATAACTCTCGAAGGGAGCATCCGATTTGGCCCAAATTTGGTACATTGTAATATTATTATTAAACTAAGATTGAGCTCGGAGATGGGCAATATTGGTCCACTCCTTCTGGTAAGAGCCCCACAAAAGTCTGAACTTTTCAAAAAAAAAAAGAAAAAAAAAAAACAGTACTGCTCAGAAAGCGGAAGGATAATTCGACTTTGTTCCAACTTTGCAGGTAAAAGGTCAAAATTTTGAATAACCGTGAAGCTCATTAAACGCGAAATTAACATTTGATTTCATTCAGATTTGGTATATCTAAATATTTTCATCAACACAAGATCTGTTATAAAGATGGTAAAGATCGGACCATTCCTTATGGTACCTAACCCCAGAAAGGGTCAAAATTTTGAATAACCAAGACAATCATAAAATCCGAAAAAAGCATCCGGTTCTCTTCAAATTATACACATCGTAGTATTTTTATTAACTCAAGGTGCGATGTGAAGATGGAATATATCGTTCCACTTCTTCTGGCACCTCCCCCACAAAGGGTCAACATACTTTGCCCACAAAGGGTCAAAGCTTTGAATAACCAAAACTATCATAAAATCCGAAATAAGCCTCCAGTTCTCTTCAAATTACACACATCACAATATTCTTATTTACCCAAGGTCTGGTGTGAAAATGGGATATATCCGTCCACTCCTTCTGATACCTCCCCCACAAAGTTTCCAAATTTTAAATGCCCATGAAGTTCATAAAACGTGAAATTAACTTCCGATTCCATTCATGCTTGGTACATCTCAATATTTTCTTTTTTAGTACCTCCCCTCCCATTTCTTTTGGTACCTCCGCTACATAGGGTTCAAGATTTTTGAAAAAACGCTGAAAGAAAGCAATATTAGCAACACTACACACCAATTCTGACACCAACCTTCGGATATCTAATATACACTCCCACAGTAATCCCAATTTCAAAGTTCAGCATTCCATCCTTATCGATTTGCCTATAATTGTACCAAATTTAGTACCATATAGTACAGATAAGTATGAATTTCCAAAACTTCCTACATAACTAAATCCTACACTCCAACAGTAATCTTATTACTAAGTTTCAGGTTTCCAGCTCTATCGGTTCACTTAATTCTAAATTGTACCAAATTTAGTACATATAAGTACAGATTTCCAAAACTACCTACATATCCCAATCCTACACTCCGACAGTAGTCCATTTTCCAATTTTCAGGATACCAGCTCTATTGGTTCACCCAAATCCAAATTGGACCAAATTTAGTACCATTTAGTACAAATTTCCAAAACTACCTACATACACAGCCGAATAGAAATCTTATTTTCAAATTTCAGGATTCCAACTCTAACAGTTCAACCAAAATTTAAATTGTACTAAATTTAGTACCATTAAGTCCACATAAAAACGAATTTCCAAAATTACCTACATACCTGAGTCCTACAATGCGTTAGTAATCATATTTCTAAATTTCAGGATTCCATCTCTCTTGATTCACCCAAAATTCAAATTGTACCAAATTTTGTATCCTTTAGTACACATAAGTATGAATTTCGAGCACTACCTACTTTCCTCAGTCCAAAAATGCTATATGTCTTATATCTAATGATAAATTTCAGAATTCCAACTCTATCGGTTCACCCAATTCGTAATTGTATCAAATTTAGTACTATTTAGTACTTTTCGTGCACATAAGTACAAATTTATAAAACTTTCCCCATATCCCAATGCTACACTCCACCAGTCATGTAAATTTCACATTCCAGCTACATCCGTTCCTCCAAATTCAAATTGTACTAAATTTAGTGCCGTTCAGTACTTTTCTTTCAAAATTAAATACTTACATTGACTCTACTCCTAAACCTTGAGTTCCATTCCAAATTTCAAGTTTTTAGTTCTACCCCTTTACATGATATGAAATCATACTAAATATTACATTTGAGTACTTTTCATACACAAAAAGTACGAATTTCCTAAAACTGGTACATTGATCATATACTTCATCAGTGACCCTTAGAGATGAAAAAACTGCAACCGACTTCAGACTGCTGCCATTTCTAAGCCACTCGTCCGACAGCTGTTAAGCATATTCCAGTGATAGCTCATTATATTGCTTACAAGCGCAAAAAGCGTTTTGGCGAGAATTTTCCAGAAAAAAAAATTATTCCTGCTGGAATTCAAGCGTGATAGTGTGATTTCTTTATATTTGGCTGTAAAACCACAATTGTCTATCGTTAGAGCACTCCAGCATTTAAATGTGAATGAATCTTTTGTGTCTCGTATCATCGCTCGTTACCGCGATGCTGGTAGCGTAGCCCGATGTCAAGGAAGTGGACTAAAGAAAACAGCAACACCAGCAGAAATGGTTCGAAAAGTAAAGAAGCTATTTGATCGAAATCCGCGTCGCAGTTGCCGAAAAATGGCTCGTAAGCTGAACATATCGCAATATTCCATTCGACAAATATTGAAAAATGAGCTCGGGGTAAAGCGATTGAAATTCCAAAACGTGCAAGAACTTACACCGCAACCGAAAGAAAATATACTTAAAAGAGCTAAAGAGTTGCTTCGCTTGGCCAAAACAAAATGATCGTGTTTACTTACCAAAGAGATCAGCTGAAAATGTGAACCTTCGGTTGACCACCAAGACTCAAGCGCCGACCATGGTGATGGTGTGGGCCGTCATAACAGCCGAAGGTCGCTCTACGCTCGTATTAATCGATCGTGGCATCAGAATAAATGCCGAATACAAACATTTTGCCCGTAGACCAGCACGCGCCACCAAAGAATGGTTACAAAATGAGGTTCCTCGCTTCATTTCCAGCGCACAATGGCCACCAAAATCTTCGGATACCAATTCGTTGGACTATTGTGTCTGGAGTATTTTGGAAAGCAAGGTTGGCACTAAAAAATACCAAAGTGTCGATGACCCCAAGCAATCGCTTCGCCGGGAATGGGCCAAAATACCGCAGAGCAACAGTTGGGCAGCGTGTGACGGTTTCAATGGCCGTTTGAAGGCCATAATTCGTGCCAAAGGTGACCAATTCGAACAAATCTAAACTTATTCTAAAATTGGATGCTATTTTTTGCTTTCATTCAATAAAATTGAAAAAAAAGTAAAAATTATTGTGGCGGTTTTTTTACTTCACCCTGTATAAAATATTAAGTAAAGAACGTAGTCGATATAGTCCAAACTTGGCACGTCGCAATTTTTATATCATATTTATTTAGTTCCGATACGAAATGGACAATATTGGGTCATTCCTTTGGTGCCTACTCCATAGAGGATCAAACATTTGAATAATCATAACAGAAGTCAAAATATATTGAAATATTCGAACATTAGATGAGGATATACATCTGTCGGCAAAACCGACTGGCCGACTGATTACCTTGTTTTTTTTTTCATGTTTAATTATTAATTCTATATCAGTAGAAAATGGTTCTCCTATTATTGG